TTTCAAATGAACTTCATTATAAACTTTATATAAAAATCTTTGCTTTTAGAATTTTGTGATGATATATCAAAAAATGTGTCTAATACAGAAATTATCTTTCAATAAAATTTGAATATGGTGAACTTTCCAAATTTTCAATGAGTTTGCTTTTGTATAGATGAATATAATGTTAGAATTTATTTTTTTAATTTTTAATAGAAAAAAATTTTGTAGTTCAGATAAGAAATATAAACATAATTGATTATATAAATAATTGATCTTATTATTTATTACGTGTTTTTCAAAAGTATAAATTTACATGTAAACTAGTTTAAAATTAATTTGATTATCGAACAATAACAATTTCGACAATTAAAAAATTGCACGGACTGGAATTTTAGAAACGTAAATTCTATATTTATGCTCTCAAATTTTTGAGAATAATATCAAATACAGATTCGGAACTTTCTTGCAAATGAGTTATCTCTGTTAAGTTATTTACAAGTAAGATGAGTCTTCAGCCCTTTATAAAGACATCATTCTCTATACAATATTGCGCTCAAATTGCTATCTTATTTTACCAACTTTGAAACCAAGAGCACACTTTTAAAAAGAAATTGTCTCCATATGGATCATTCTGCAGAGTTAGGTTTTTATCTCGTCCTCTTTTACTTACTCATTGTCCTTTTTCTACTAGATATGCAGAATGAAGCAAAAGCAAAATAATTCGTGGAATAACTAAGATTTTTTCGTCCTAAAATTACAAAAATATGAGACAAAAATTTTATTCCAAATTTCTTCTTCACCATGTAGACTGTGAACAGCATCTCGACTTTGCATCATCCGATACTGTCGAACGGTACTGAGCTCCATTGTGCGAAAAATCGCCTTTTCTTGGAGTGTCGAATATGAATACTAGGATCCTTTGGCTCGGATATTTTTTCAGCAAGTGTCATCCAATTAATACAGCATATACTAACAAGTACAATTTACTGTTAGTCTTTTTATTATATCGATATATAATGGTTTTTATATCCACATTCCCCCCAAACCTCCTTGCAGCTGAACGAATTACGTTGGTAAATATTGTAATAAACTTTATCTACTTTAGCACCAGGAAAAAGAGGATAATCAACTAAAAAGAATTTTTATCAGTTCTTCGACTGCTGCAGAAAACCGATAAATGCATCATTAAATATTATATCGTCTATTACTAAGTTGAAAATTAGGCGCATCCTCTTCCCTAGAAAATAAAACTCTAAATTTTCTTCCGGTTACAAAAAGCTTTTTTTTTGTGTACGCTGCTGGCTCGATTCGCTTGAACAGCAAATATTTTTATTCTTTTCGTTGTCCTCTTTGAAATATGTATCTTTTAATAATGTTTTACTTTTATATTTGTCTTCAAAATCCAAAGTATTTTCCTCATTCAATGTTGTCGCCGGAACATTTTTAGTCGGAAATAGTTTATTTGATTGAATCATTAGAATCTAATATTTCATCGTCGTTATTATTGAATTCCGATGAAACTTGTTCGTCCTCTTTTAACTTGGGAATCTTAAAATATCAAAAATACTCTAATATATTTTCATTTTCATATGATTTTTTATCCAAAGGTCCTGATTACTCTGGCGTAAATTAAATAAACAACGATGCAGACAATGACTAATATGAAAACATTCTACTGCATTCGGAATTATTCATTTTATGGAAAATTCATACACAACTTTTATATTGAAACATTTTGCATATAAATACAGTCTAATTGATTTTACGCGACATATATCCAACTCTTAATAGAGCTAGTACATGATCGGCGGCGTAACACTTTTTGGAGCGCGATTTGGCATCTATATTCAATATTAACGATGATGCTCCATTAACGTTAACGTTCGTCTAAATATTCAGCGGCCAAAAGCAACGTTGAGAC